CACAGCACAAATACTGCAACTACAGTAATGATGTTAAACATGGTTATTAGTTAGAAGCTAACTGCTACACAGCACAAATACTGCAACTACAGTAATGATGTTAAACATGGTTATTAGTTAGAAGCTAACTGCTACACAGCACAAATACTGCAACTACAGTAATGATGTTAAACATGGTTATTAGTTAGAAGCTAACTGCTACACAGCACAGTTACTGCAACTACAAGACTGACGTTAAACGAGGCTTCCCCCCTTCCATATGTTTGTTCCCCCACCCCCTTCCCTCCCCCTCCTTAGCTGCTCCTTTCGCAGAGTAGTTTTTTTGTGCGCATGCTCATGTGTTCTTCTGTATAAAACTCAGGATCGAAGCTCTTTTTTTAACTCATCCTTCCTACGTGTGTGTATTCTAAACTGCAAAGGTAGCGCACCACGTTACGAAAGACCCTGGACATTCGTCCCCCCGTGCCTGTCATGTGTGTGTGTGTGTGTTTCTCCAGACAGATGTTCAAAACTGCAAGTTTCGTTCTATATTGCATCTTGATGTTGTGTATGAATGACAATAAACAGTTCTTGATTCTTGATTCTAGCTAGAAGCTAACTGCTAAACAGCACAGATACCTACAGTACATGAATCCTGTTAAACATGGCTGTTAGCTAGAAGCTAAGTGAAGCAGCACAGGTGCTGTAATTCCCTACAGAAGTATCATTAAACACATGATAATGATAGCAGAAGAGGAAACATCATTAGTCAGCTTTAATTAACTCCAGCAGAGCTCAGGTTCAGTCCCTACACCAGCTCTGTGCTGCTTTTTAATCTGAGGAGCATAAAATGACCCCTGAAGTTAATCTTTACAGAAAACGAGGCAGGAAGTCGGAGCTAAAGACGTCCCTGACAGCTGATGTGAAACTCCATCAGTTATTTGTTGCTGAAGCTGCAACTCAACAGAATATAAGAACATAAACATGTCAGTTTTCACGCTGTAGTTTTCTGTTTACGGTTTTTCTTCTGTTGGTTTCTGAACGACTCCCACAGACTGTGTGGTTTTATCCTGTGTTCACACAGAAAAGGTTTTATTTCAAGTTTTCAAAATGTTTTACTAGATTTAAAAACAACAAAAACATGTAGGAAAAACTTCAAACCCTTGAAAAGCAGCTGGCTCTGGTTTGGTTTGCTTTAGCTCCTTTAGCCTTTTAGCTGGTCCTGTTTTAGTAACAGTTCTGACAGTTTGAGCTTTGTTTTGTTCATTTTAGCTGCTGTTTTGATTAGTTTAGCTTCAGCATCAGTTTAGCTCCTTTTTGCTAAACTTGACATTTTTAGCTACATTTCTGCTACCTTTAGCTGCCAACCTGCTACTTTAAGCTACTTTCATGCTACTTCTAGCTATGATTCGGCTACTTTTAGATTTCTCTTTTGCTACTTTTAGGTAAAATTCTGCTTCTTATATCTGTTATATTGATATATTTAGTTTTAATCTTCCATTCAGCCCAATTTAGCTGTGTTTTGTTCATTTTAGCTATTGTTTTGGTGAGTTTAGCTTTAGCATTAGTTTTGCTACTTTTACCTACATTTATGCTAATAAAAACACCTGCTTAGCTCATTTTAGTTTAAGGTTTGCTGAATTTAGCTTTTAGCTACAGTTATGCTAATCTTAAATTGCCGGTAGTTTACCTTAGTGTAGCTTTAGCAACAACTTTGCTGCTTTTAATTTAGCTTTGATAATGAAATCATTGGTAATTTTAGCTACTATTTAATCAGTTTTGATTGTAGCTGCAGTCCTGACACTTAAAACTATTGTCCTGCTTTTTTAGCTTAGTTTCGCTTTAGCATTGATATTGCTACTTTAAGTTTTGCTAAGAGTCATTTATTTCGCAAATTTTAGCTACAGTTTTGATCATTTATTTAGCTTGTTGCTACAGACCAGCTACTTTTAAGTGCTGTTTTTATCATTTAAGCTTTTAGCTACTTAATTAATAAAGCTGTTAGCATTTATTTAGCTAATTTAGCTACAGTTTTGATCATTTATTTGGCTTGTTGCTACAGTTCTGCTACTTTTAACCAAGGTTCTGCTCATTTTAGCTTTTGGCTACTTAATAAATAGAGCTGCTAGCATTTGTTTTGCTAACTTAGCTACAGTTTTGATCATTTATTTAGCTTATTGCTACAGTTCTGCTACTTTTAACCAAGGTTCTGCTCTATTTTAGCTTTTAGCTACTTAATTAATAAAGCTGTTAGCATTTATTTAGCTAATTTAGCTAAAGTTTTGATCATTTATTTAGTTTATTGCTACAGTTCTGCTACTTTTAACCAAGATTCTGCTCATTTTAGCTTTTAGCTACTTAATAAATAGAGCTGCTAGCATTTGCTTAGCTAATTTTAGCTGCTGTTCTGGTTGGTTTATAGCTAAAGGCTCGGCTTCACGCTGCAGTTTAGCAGAAATGATTTTTAAGTTGTTCTTTAGATGTTGAAGCACAGGTGAAACACCTCGTTAAATAACCTGCAGACATTTCGGCTCATCTTCAGCTGCAGGAGCTAAAAGAGGCCGAAGGTCTGAAATGATTTGTTCATGCAGGAGAACCACAGGTTTTCTGGGCCACACGTGCCGGACCAGATTAGCACCGAAGACTTACTTCATCTGTTTGACGATGGTGCTTTTCCCCGACTCTCCGGCCCCTGAGGGACAAACAGAAGACAGAGTCAACAGTGAGACAGGAGGAGGAGGAGGAGGAGGAGGAGCAGCCTCCTCACATCCTTCATGATGCTGAGCAGCAGCAGGGGGGTGGAGGAGCACAAACTAGCTGCATCCTTTATTTAATATTTCCAACAAACCCAGCTGCCTCTGCTCTCAGATTACAGATTATTTTTTAATAAACAGGTGAACTGATGAAAAATCAGAGTCTAATCTGCAGCTGCAGCAGATCTGGGCCTGCTGCATCATCAGAACATCTCACCACCTGCCACACCTTTTTATCCAAACTGGAGCCCCTCACTGGGATTAAACTCAAATTAAAATATCCTGTTAATCCAGGTGGACGGATTATTTTCATCACGTCATTTTTGCGTCGTTTTAATGTTTCCAATTCATGTTTTCACCTCCTTGTCCTGCAGCCACACCTTGATTTATTTATTTATTTATTTATTTATTTATTTATTTATTTATTTATTTATTTATTTTATGGTTTGTTTCTGGGGGGGTTTGGACCGGGGTTCGGCGGCCCGGTTCGGGTCTTACCGAGCAGCAGCAGCTTGACATCCTTGGCCGCGGTGATCCCGTCCTCCTTCAGGTTCTTCTCGATGGCTTTGCTCCGGTCCAGAGCCGCCCTCTCCTCTGCGCTCAGGGTACATCCCATGGTTAGAGAACACAGCTTGGTATCGGTACCGGTTCCGAGGTCCAGGCAGGAAAACGCACCGCTGTGACGATGAGGGGCTGGGGGTCCTCTCGGGGTGTATTTCCAGGGTTTCTGCGCGTCTCTCTCGGGGCTGCTCCCTCTCTCAGGCCGGGGACGGAGGCGCCGTGTGCGCGTTCACAGCACCGGTCCTCCCGGTTCGGTCTACGGGGCGGGTTAGCGGTGAAAACGGACCGGGTGAATCCTCCGCAGCTGGGTGATAATGATGATGATGATAATGATGATGATGATGAGTCTCCCTCTCTTCCTCTCTGTCGGTAAATCGCTGCTTTCACTCTGTCGTTACTGGGCGGCGGTGAGCAGCGCGCGCATCGCTCGGCTCGGTTCGGTTCGGTTCTCGCGGCGGATCCTGTTTCCTCTCCGTTCGGCTCCTCCGGGGACTCGCTCGGTGTCAGCTGTACTGCCTCCCGGTAGCTCCGGTAGCGGCTCGCTCGGTTCCTCCGTTAGTTCGTCCGTCTGTTCGCCGACAGGCTGATGACGTCACAGCAGTAAAAGCTAATGAGGAAGAGGCGCCGCTCCGGGATCAGTGGCGCCTCCTGGTGGTGGTGACAAGAAGTGCAGGATTCAGGTTAAAACAGCTGCTGTTCAAACATTTGTACTGTTTCTGATTAAATCTGGGTCCATCCATCCTTCATCCATCCTTCATCCATCCATCCATCCTTCATCCATCCTTCATCCATCCATCCTTCATCCATCCATCCATCCATCCATCCTTCATCATTCCTTCATCCATCCATCCAGCCATCCATCCTTCATCCATCCTTCATCATTCCTTCATCCATCCATCCATCCATCCATCCATCCTTCATCCATCCTTCATCCATCCATCCTTCATCCATCCATCCTTCATCCATCCTTCATACATCCTTCATCCATCCATCCTTCATCCATCCATCCTTCATCCATCCATCCATCCAACCATCCTTCATCCATCCATCCATCCATCCTTCATCCATCCATCCATCCATCCTTCATCCATCCATCCATCCATCCTTCATCCATCCATCCATCCATCCTTCATCCATCCATCCA